GTCGTAGAGGAGTTTGTGACTTTTGATGTGGTCAAGGTTCAACCACACGTAATCTCTAGATCTCCTAACTTCACGAAGATAACGTTTCTCGGGGTTGCTACCTATGTTGTACGTCTCAAGAGACTACGTTGTGATTTGAGTGTAGAGGTAGGGATTAATTTATTTCAGTCTCGTCAGTTTATCTCTTCAGTTAGTTGCCAGTAGGCGTTAATCTCATCAAAAGCCCGTACTCGGTTTCAGGTCACATTGAAAATTAACTTGGTGGCTTATTGGCTTGTTGCCATCCCACTCAAGATGAGTGTATAGCTTTGTTGCCTCACGACTAGTAGTAGTATTCTAAGAGCACCAGCCTTAGTTCGCCAAAATCAGGTAGTGCTCCTGCATTACTTGTCTTTCGCTAGACTTATGTGATGTTACACCAGGACAATCGTTCGTTGCTGTTTGCTCTCTGATTTTCAGTGCAACAGAGTTGCATCCGCGTGTGCTAATGAGTTGTGTTGATCTTCTCACTAAAGTGTAAACTGAGTGGTCTAGTTGCCTTCCGTTGGTTTTCACCGGTCACCTACAAAACGTCGAACATGTTGAGCACGCCACCTACCAGTATACAGATTTTCAGGGAGGGAAATGAGGGAATAATTCATTCACATACTCGTCAAATAAAATTAGTTGTGGCTGGACAATAATTTCCTGAGACGCCAGCGTTTACGAGTCGCTTCTTCCGTGGGGAATTCATTCAGTTTGGTGTTTTTACTTTGAAATGTTAGGCACTTCCAGGTAACATATGGCATAACATAAGAAGTTATAGAAGTTGTGAACAAATGGACCAGGCGTATCAGGGTAGCAGACACTGTTTTAGTCTCTTGATTTGCTGCCTGTGCGATGTCCTGGTTTACATACTTCAGTCGAATGATATTTATGTGTACTGTTTATAAACTAAATGAAATAGTATCGAACCTACTGAATTTCGCTCTGAATAGTCTAAATGATGTGATTTGTCCAGACTTGCAGGTTTCCTGTTTGTTATTATGCAGTGTAACAAACATATTGCTGCACGTTAGACTTTTTATAAGTTAGCCATTGTTTTGCATGTCTCTGTGCTTCCAATCCTGCCTCCATGGACTTGAGTTCGTGTATATCTAGTAGCAACGTTGTGAATCTGGCGGTGATTCTCAGTAGTGACAATGAGATAGTAGTCGGTGTATATTTGTCGTAGGTTGGAGTGTAGTGGCCAGTCACTAGAGTGCTCTGTCACTGACTCCCATGGACTTCAATGAATTGGAGAATATACTTCATATTCTGAGAAGTTGTTCCTTCTTCCTAAACCCGACGACACAAGTTACACCTTTAACGACAAGTGGAGTTTATGCAAACGGCAGTGCATCTTTAAAGGGCTTCGAGACATCTTGTGATCCTAAGTAGGTGAGGTGTGGATTCGCTGAAGGATAAGAGTCAGTGCAAGTGGTGAGTTATGGGTCTCACCAAAAATTGATGTTAATTTTGAAAACAGCTTGATTCCACACTAGTTTTGGTAAAAGTATGGAATTTTCAGCATGGATATCGGTAGCCCAAATTTTTCAGGCCGACCATAGATATCAGGTGTTCGTCGCCAGGGGATCGAACCTCGGACCATGTGCATGGTCGACGAGAGGCCTTACCACTGTGCCACCGACTCACAGTGAAGATTTCCCTGAGGTTCATGAGGAAGAAATCTACCTCTGTGCTAGTGTTGTGAACACATCCCTTGGGTTTGTGTTTTCACAGCTAAATTGGGAGGAGTGTTGATCCGCCTTACTCTCTGCAGAGTATTGAACATTGGGTCATATAAATCAAAATAATTGGTCTACTGGTCAGGTTGCAGATGAGAATTAAACATTTGGACGAGGCACACATTCCTGTAGGTCGTCATCGAACATAGTCATGCATCGTAGTCCTCTGATGTTTGGTTTAGCCTTCGAATTGTGGAACTTGTAGGTAGACTTTGACTGACACTAACCACTCAACCTATGTAATCAGGGTTGGTGTCTGACATGTTCGGATTTGTATTCCGAAAGAGACTAGAGCCTGTGCAGTAAAGCCACGGCATTCTTTGTTTTTATCTGAATGTTCTCTGTGTGCACTTTATTACATGTATTTGTTCATTCCTTCGGTTGCGAGTGGGATATAGGGCTTCAGCAGTACTGCACCCTATTCTCTGTTATCACATTGACTGGCTTCACAAGCTTATGTTTCCTTTTCACATGGTCTGCTCCATGACACCCTTATACACCCGACGTGTCGCTTGTTATTTGGCTTTCACTCGAGGGATTGGCGTGTAACATTACTTGAGCATCTCCTCAGCGCGTATTCAATCCATATCCCCCACATGAATTGAGCAGTAGGTTCCTGTCTAGTTTACCGTCACGGTTCTTCATTGCCTATCATTTCCAGCCTGCCACATGGTCTTCAGTATCGAGTGAAACCATCCGTTGAGAAGAGTCTGCAGCCTGTTGGTGATGTCTTTGATGATGCGCACACGAACTGTTTGGTGCATATAGAAGCACTGGCTCAACATTGGTGTTGAATAGAATTCGGTTGTTGTCCAGTGTGCTGAGTGTTGTGCTTCTAAGCGTCGATTTAAGTGAAATGAGCACCTAGCTCGCTTCGACATCTTGCTTCTGTAGTTGGAATGATATTATGCAATTAAGTTAAGAAGATCTTCAGATTCCTCGTAGTGATGGTGTCTTTGTTTTTTACGTGGTTTATTTTTCACCTCTGTCTTTGATCTGTTCGTTTTTCTTGACAACCCAGTTTTCCCTTGTAATCTTCGATTTTGTGCGCTAGAGATACAGATCATCCGCAAAATCCAGATTTTCTAGGGTGTGAGGCAAGCAAAGGATCATTAAAAGAACGAGACGCGAGACAACACGCAGAATTGTTGATATTTGAAAGGAATGAAGCTGCTACTATAGAAACGGACTGACAGACGGCATAAGCGAATGCCACTGTTGTGGATTGAACCGAAGCCCACACGATGTTGGCCTCCGATACCCTGAAGATGGGAGTTGTTGTGAGTGACCATCGACTGTCATAGAAGTCTGCTGATCAGAATTCACATTGTACAAAGCCTCAGGATGGTCGGGGGTGGGTGCCTTGCGCTGCGGGTTGGCCACCCCTCCGTACACCTCTTGAAATGCTCCCATATGACCGGGCGTCTTACATAGCCTCTCCTGAGGAAGTCCTAATCACTGCCTTCACGTGGTGGAGGTGTTTTCATCGAAGTGAGAGGGCAAAAGCGGATGCCCGGCGCTCTCCACCGGGTTGATTGTCCATTGCATGACAGTCTAGGGGAGATGGCCAAACCCTGTTTCCAAACCTCCAACGACTGGCGTATGAAGCTCGCCGGAGCTCAGCGGCAGACGTATGGACAAAGGGCTTATTGGATGCCCTGGATGTCTGGGCCCATTCAAAAAGGCGTATGAACCGGACTCCGTCACCGGTTGCAATAGATAGTGGACTCCCTACTCCACTCCTACTGCCTTGTAGGTCACACTTGGTTGCGTAAAGGCTAGAGCTGCACTCTCAAACAAAAGGCCGAGCGATGCTGGGGACATCACTCGTACCTAATTCCCATGAAACTTCATGAACTCGTGTTCATGAAGCCGGCTCATCCTCCCATAGGAGATAGCCGAAATAAAGTAAAAACATTGTACAAATACCGACTGCCTGTTTGTCAGGCAAACATTGAGTCAGATTTTATTACCTCTTGGTAAATAATAGTTACACTGCCTAACTTGTTGTCAGTATGGTTAGTCTTCGTAATACCTCTTAAGTATTATCAGTATTGCTGTAAACCTATCTCTCATTTGCTCAGCCCTCACACAATGAATTGAATAAAGCAACAAACATTCAATGAAACTTATCGCGGACAATTACACGTGTTGCAGTTTCCTACTTTCTTCCCTTCCTGATGATAGTTGGCGAATACTGTTTGAACTTGTGAAGCATGACTGTTTTCCTTCCAGATGAAGTTTTTTGTCCGTTCTCTACTTATATATATATATATCTTTTTCTTTTGATCTATGTTGTTTTATTATAATTGTGTGGCGCATCCTTCTTGGTGCTATATTGTCCCAAGTTTTTATGCATTTCAATAATCTTGAAATACACGTTCTAATATCATATAGATCTTCTCATTTGCTAGTTAGGGTTCAGGAATCCATGAGAAGTTTGTCGCAAATCGGTAGTCGTGTGAGAGAGTACAACAAATACCAACTATCATTTGATGTCGCCGTAGGGATACTGACTTTTGTGACTGTATTAACACGGTACGACGTGGTGACATATATGGTATAAGAAGCGACTACGGTTGCCACCCATACTTATTGTTAAGGTGATTACCTGAAGTCGTGTTGTCTTTGGTGCTAGGTAGAGATCGCCTTCAGATGACAGTGCTACGAAGCATACATCTTCCTGGAACTTCGGCCACTACAGCTCAATACACTCACTGTAAAAGTCGAAGAAAATGCCGTGGTATTCAATCAGATTTTCGAACATAGGGTGACTATGTCCAGCAGTCGTGATAATCGTCATCATTCACGCACCGAAATGAGCAGTTGTCGTAAAGTGTTAGTGCTACGTCCTGTTTGGGAGTTGACCTAGTCGAAACTATGGATTTCAACACCATCTTACTTTTCTTATTATCGGTCGTTGAATCACGTTAGGTTGAAATTGGGGAACAATCTAGCTTTCAGAGGTAGGGAAACATTGAACATTGTCTCGCTCCGTAGACAGTCCAGTATTAAAATAATCAGTGAAAAATAAAGAATCTCACTTTTATCAATGAACTACTTAGTAAAAGATGTATACTTTGGATGACATGAACAAATTGATGTTCAATCGGCTACCATGTTGGGCTTTTGTTTATCCACTCACGAGTGGGTTTGTTTCCTGTTCACGGTTAGAGTGTCAGTTGAGCGTTAGGAGGTTGTAGAGGTTCAGTTGGTCGTTGGGTTCTTTTTACAATGTCGGGTGAATGCTTCAATTGTGGACGTTCTGGTCATTTTGCTCGTGACTGTCAATCAGGGTCAAGAGGTGGTAGAGGGGGCGGTGGTTATCGTGGTGGACGTGGCGGTGGTGGCGGCGGCGGAGGTGGACGCGACCGTGACTACAATGAACCTCGTCGAAGTAAGTGCAAGATGCTTTTGATAATAATTCTTCAATTGATGTACCTTTAATTGATTTAAGTTAGTTAGGGCTTGAAGTATTGAGGCATTAGTGGTAGAGTTGAAGCTTGAGGTTCAGTTGCGCATGCTCAGTTTTTTGTGTTTGTAGACGGCTGCTACAGTTGCGGTGGGTTGGGTCATATTGCTCGGGATTGCACGAGTGGTCGTGGATATGGTTACGGCGGTGGAGGCTATGGGGGTGGTCACGGTGAGTTTGAGGCATTCTTCGTAAACTTTGAGTGCACGTCTGGGCATCGTGTATATTGAGGTGTGTAGTTCTGGATGTGTAATAGGGGTTGCTGGTGTGATTAGTGTGGATTGTTTTGAGATACCAGTGTTGCAACTGAGTTTCGCTAAGTGTTTGTTTTGTATCTTGTAGACATGTGTTACAACTGTGGTGGGACGGGACATTTTGCACGAGATTGTACTAATGGAAGACGAGAAGGTGACGGCTCATATAATAATGGTGGTGGTAGTGGACGTGATTGCTACAACTGTGGCGAGCCAGGCCACATCTCTCGAGACTGCCCGAATAATGATCGGAGAAATGACTCAAGCGGTCCAAAATGTTTCAGGTATTGAATCGATGTGATGTATTGTTACTTTGATTTAGGTGTAATAAGTACGGTCATATCGCGCGAGATTGCACAGAAAGTGGAGGTTCTGGCCCGCAGTGCTATAAATGTCAAGGCTTTGGTCACATAGCAAGCCGATGCAACGTGGAAGCATGAGTGGGATACATGGGACTGACTTTGTTGTAGTGTTTCATACCCGCAATCACTGTTTCTCTTCGCACTCACTGTGTGGTGAATGCATTAAACTGAATTTATGCTACTTGATAAAATTTTTCACGTTATGCTCGTCTGGCGGCTTCTGATTTCGCGTTTCAAGTGGTGAGCTGAGGTGTGTGTCGTTTGTCGTCATGAGAACTGCAATGTGCTTCGTCATGATCGACAAGTTTAGGAATCAGTGTATGAACGTAGTACCTAAATGGAGGTCCAACCGTGTCTATAAATGAAGTTTCAGGTCGGCTCATGGCTGCATGGATTGCCAATCTGTCATTCTCGCAGGGGCATTGAGGAGGATAAGTCGATTTGAGTATTCTAGGGAAGCATCATGCATGCACCAAGAGTTAAGTGCTTGGAGTCGTCACCAACCGGATTGGAGTTGAAGTAGGTAGCATCAACCGAATGGCTTGTCGTGCCTACTGCTATGTGTGTGGGGCTTAAAGTTGCGTCATGACTGCCATCCAGGAGGCTTCTTTAGTCGCTGAACAGCGAACTGTGTGCTGATTCGGAATGCGGATAGCTGTCTGTTGTGAGGACCATGCTGCATGAGGTTTTTGGAGCAATGAGGTCGAGAAGCAGAGGGCCGGGGTCGATTAGAGGGCGGTCTCAGCGTTATTATCGTCTAGCTACGGCAGGCTTGGGGTTCGGTGCCTCGCGGGTTGTTGTGTATACAGGTGAATCGTTAAGACTTCGACAAGGTGTAAGGAGCGCGAGGGCATCAGCGGTGGTTGGCTTCGTCCAGTCGGCTGCAGACAAGGTGGTAAGACTCATCTGGACGTTTATCGAAAGCTGTCTGGAGCTTGAGGTCCTATTCAGTTTTGTGACGGCATTGGTTGTGCGATTTGACACTTGGGGGAATTTCAAACGACTGCAATGGATAAGACACCTCCTCAGTGCTTGTGCCTGCCATGTTTGGAAGACGTCAGCGTTATTGTTTACTTGGTCTTCGAAAATACTTTGTCCTGTTCTGAAGTAGCCAGCACAACTGTAATCGCGTTTGGACGTCATCCGACGACTCCCACGTAACTATGTCTCCTGATATTCGTTGTCACAGGCTTCAACCACATTCCATAAGTACATGAGGCCAGATCTGGGATGCTGATATCTGATGTGACGCATAGATATCGATTTGCTATGATCGCATTGAACTCGCGAAAATCACCCATCTGCATGTGTGGAGAGGGGCGCAGTCTACGTCCTCATGGAGTGCACAAGGGTAGCGAAGTAGACTTCTATCATCAATTATCCAACAGTGAAACTAGAGACAGAACCACCGTGCTGTGCCTTGTGTATTGATGTAACCAAGTTTAATCTGAGTAAGTATAAATGATTCAAATTGCCATCTGTTTATGGATGATCAAAGTTAACAGCGGATTTCCGATAGAAAAACAGGTAGCAGTGTACACACAATGCAAGAGAGGAAAGTAAACACTTGCTTTCTCATCGATTGCACACGAATGAACGTTCAGTGATGTAATTTTTCTCTGCTGTACTTCGTGGGTTATGCGAGTGTGCGAGGCGCACGGGTACTAAGAGGGTACAACGTCTGATGGCTGCAACGTGTAGAAGCCCCAAAGTGGTGTTTGGGATGGTTAATCATATAAAATTGGGTGAATGAGACTGAAATGGTGAGAGGACATATGGGTAAGGAAGACGTGAGTGTGTGATGATGGTGGTGGTCGGGGGACGGTTGCTGTCACCACGACGGACGGTTTTCCCACTGGGTCTTGCTCCCGTCTGATATTCTTAATAGGATAGGAAGCGCATACGGGTCTCCTGGCGGAGGACTGTGTCTGATAATTCAAGTCTACGTGTGTTGTTTCTTCGTTGAAGGATCTATTAGGGCGAAGCGATACTTATTCGTGACTCAGCGGAATATGGACAAGTGCTCATGGCATACCCTCACCCCGACACTTTCACACAAACGTTTGCACGGTAAGGGTTGGCGGAACAAATGCCTCCATGGTCATCTCTCTGTGTGAGTGGATGCACCACACTAGGATCCCTGGTCACATCTCACAGACATTCAAGTAAAAGATTGGTCTGTTACGTGAGTGAGTCATCCCGCACAAGTTTGTGGACATTTCGTCGTAGAGGAGTTTGTGACTTTTGATGTGGTCAAGGTTCAACCACACGTAATCTCTAGATCTCCTAACTTCACGAAGATAACGTTTCTCGGGGTTGCTACCTATGTTGTACGTCTCAAGAGACTACGTTGTGATTTGAGTGTAGAGGTAGGGATTAATTTATTTCAGTCTCGTCAGTTTATCTCTTCAGTTAGTTGCCAGTAGGCGTTAATCTCATCAAAAGCCCGTACTCGGTTTCAGGTCACATTGAAAATTAACTTGGTGGCTTATTGGCTTGTTGCCATCCCACTCAAGATGAGTGTATAGCTTTGTTGCCTCACGACTAGTAGTAGTATTCTAAGAGCACCAGCCTTAGTTCGCCAAAATCAGGTAGTGCTCCTGCATTACTTGTCTTTCGCTAGACTTATGTGATGTTACACCAGGACAATCGTTCGTTGCTGTTTGCTCTCTGATTTTCAGTGCAACAGAGTTGCATCCGCGTGTGCTAATGAGTTGTGTTGATCTTCTCACTAAAGTGTAAACTGAGTGGTCTAGTTGCCTTCCGTTGGTTTTCACCGGTCACCTACAAAACGTCGAACATGTTGAGCACGCCACCTACCAGTATACAGATTTTCAGGGAGGGAAATGAGGGAATAATTCATTCACATACTCGTCAAATAAAATTAGTTGTGGCTGGACAATAATTTCCTGAGACGCCAGCGTTTACGAGTCGCTTCTTCCGTGGGGAATTCATTCAGTTTGGTGTTTTTACTTTGAAATGTTAGGCACTTCCAGGTAACATATGGCATAACATAAGAAGTTATAGAAGTTGTGAACAAATGGACCAGGCGTATCAGGGTAGCAGACACTGTTTTAGTCTCTTGATTTGCTGCCTGTGCGATGTCCTGGTTTACATACTTCAGTCGAATGATATTTATGTGTACTGTTTATAAACTAAATGAAATAGTATCGAACCTACTGAATTTCGCTCTGAATAGTCTAAATGATGTGATTTGTCCAGACTTGCAGGTTTCCTGTTTGTTATTATGCAGTGTAACAAACATATTGCTGCACGTTAGACTTTTTATAAGTTAGCCATTGTTTTGCATGTCTCTGTGCTTCCAATCCTGCCTCCATGGACTTGAGTTCGTGTATATCTAGTAGCAACGTTGTGAATCTGGCGGTGATTCTCAGTAGTGACAATGAGATAGTAGTCGGTGTATATTTGTCGTAGGTTGGAGTGTAGTGGCCAGTCACTAGAGTGCTCTGTCACTGACTCCCATGGACTTCAATGAATTGGAGAATATACTTCATATTCTGAGAAGTTGTTCCTTCTTCCTAAACCCGACGACACAAGTTACACCTTTAACGACAAGTGGAGTTTATGCAAACGGCAGTGCATCTTTAAAGGGCTTCGAGACATCTTGTGATCCTAAGTAGGTGAGGTGTGGATTCGCTGAAGGATGAGAGTCAGTGCAAGTGGTGAGTTATGGGTCTCACCAAAAATTGATGTTAATTTTGAAAACAGCTTGATTCCACACTAGTTTTGGTAAAAGTATGGAATTTTCAGCATGGATATCGGTAGCCCAAATTTTTCAGGCCGACCATAGATATCAGGTGTTCGTCGCCAGGGGATCGAACCTCGGACCATGTGCATGGTCGACGAGAGGCCTTACCACTGTGCCACCGACTCACAGTGAAGATTTCCCTGAGGTTCATGAGGAAGAAATCTACCTCTGTGCTAGTGTTGTGAACACATCCCTTGGGTTTGTGTTTTCACAGCTAAATTGGGAGGAGTGTTGATCCGCCTTACTCTCTGCAGAGTATTGAACATTGGGTCATATAAATCAAAATAATTGGTCTACTGGTCAGGTTGCAGATGAGAATTAAACATTTGGACGAGGCACACATTCCTGTAGGTCGTCATCGAACATAGTCATGCATCGTAGTCCTCTGATGTTTGGTTTAGCCTTCGAATTGTGGAACTTGTAGGTAGACTTTGACTGACACTAACCACTCAACCTATGTAATCAGGGTTGGTGTCTGACATGTTCGGATTTGTATTCCGAAAGAGACTAGAGCCTGTGCAGTAAAGCCACGGCATTCTTTGTTTTTATCTGAATGTTCTCTGTGTGCACTTTATTACATGTATTTGTTCATTCCTTCGGTTGCGAGTGGGATATAGGGCTTCAGCAGTACTGCACCCTATTCTCTGTTATCACATTGACTGGCTTCACAAGCTTATGTTTCCTTTTCACATGGTCTGCTCCATGACACCCTTATACACCCGACGTGTCGCTTGTTATTTGGCTTTCACTCGAGGGATTGGCGTGTAACATTACTTGAGCATCTCCTCAGCGCGTATTCAATCCATATCCCCCACATGAATTGAGCAGTAGGTTCCTGTCTAGTTTACCGTCACGGTTCTTCATTGCCTATCATTTCCAGCCTGCCACATGGTCTTCAGTATCGAGTGAAACCATCCGTTGAGAAGAGTCTGCAGCCTGTTGGTGATGTCTTTGATGATGCGCACACGAACTGTTTGGTGCATATAGAAGCACTGGCTCAACATTGGTGTTGAATAGAATTCGGTTGTTGTCCAGTGTGCTGAGTGTTGTGCTTCTAAGCGTCGATTTAAGTGAAATGAGCACCTAGCTCGCTTCGACATCTTGCTTCTGTAGTTGGAATGATATTATGCAATTAAGTTAAGAAGATCTTCAGATTCCTCGTAGTGATGGTGTCTTTGTTTTTTACGTGGTTTATTTTTCACCTCTGTCTTTGATCTGTTCGTTTTTCTTGACAACCCAGTTTTCCCTTGTAATCTTCGATTTTGTGCGCTAGAGATACAGATCATCCGCAAAATCCAGATTTTCTAGGGTGTGAGGCAAGCAAAGGATCATTAAAAGAACGAGACGCGAGACAACACGCAGAATTGTTGATATTTGAAAGGAATGAAGCTGCTACTATAGAAACGGAC